TCTCCTCTCTCTCTATCTCTCTCTCTCCATCTCTCTCTCTCTCTGCCTCTCTCTCTCTCTCTCTCTCTTCTCTCTCTCTCTCTCTCTCTTCTCTCTCTCTCTCTCTCTCTCTCTCTCGTTTTCTTCGGCTTTCTTCTCTCTCTGCTCTCTCTCTCTCTCTCTTCTCTCCTCTCTCTCTCGTCTCTCTCTCTCGTCTCTCTCTCTCTCTGCTCTCTCTCTCTCTCTGCTCTCTCTCTCTTCTCTCGCTCTGCTCTCTGTGTTGCTCTCGCTCTCTCTTCTCACTCTCTCAACTCTGCTCTCTCTCTCTCTCTCTCTCTCCTCCTAATCCGCTCGCCGCTCGCTCTCTCTCTCTCTCTCACTCACTTCATCGCTCACTCTCTCTCTCGTCTCTCTCTACTCTCTCTCTCTCTCTCCTCTCTCTCTCTACTCTCACTTTCTCTCTACTCTGACTCTGACTCATGCTCGTCTCTCTCTCTCAGCTCTCACTCTCCTACTCTCTCTCTCTCTCTCGTATACTATTCAGATATTCTATGATTGTATGGCGCTCGTGCACTCTCGTCTCTCTCTCTCTGGTCCGCGTCGCTCTCGTGCTGTGTATGCTCTAGGTGTCTCATCTCTCACTCACTCTCTCTCTCTCTTCTCTCTTCCTCTCTCTCCTCTCTCTCTGCTCTCTCTCGCTCTTCTCTCTGGTCTCTGTCTCTGTCTCTGTCTAGTCTCTGTCTCTCTCTCTCCTCTCTCTCATCTCTCTCTCTCTCTCTCTCTCTCTCTCTCTCTCTCTCTTTCGCTCTCTGTCTGTGGTCTCTCTAGGTGTCTCTCCTCTCACTTCACTCACTCACTTCTCTCTCTCTATCTCTCTCTCTCCTCTCTCTCTCTCTCTCGTCTCTCGCGTCCTCTCCTCGTCCTCCTACTTTTCTATCTCTCTGGCACTCCTCTCGCCCCTCTCTCTCTCCATCCTCTATCACTTTATCCATCTCTCTATCTCTATCTATCTATCTGTATATATCTCTCTCTCTTTCTCGTCTGCTTTCTCTCAGGAACACAGTTGTAAAAATCGTTGTCGGTGTTAAGTTGCGTGCTGTGGTTTGACCCACCAGCGTCCGAGTAGAATTACAGAACACAACGCTTAAAATTCTCTGGAAAAGTCTATTGATCTTCTAAGTGGTCAGCGAGCTGGCTACTGCGGAGTGCGAACTCACCGCGGAGAGGGTTTGTATGCCTAAATAATATACAGCATGGTATTAGTAGAGTGGCGGTTATAGCCCATTTATATACTACTGACGTGTTTATTTAAATGTTGTTAGAGGCAAAAAAATGGCATAATGACGCTTCCCAGCACATCAGTCCTATGATGCCACTGATTAAGGCCGCTTAGAAGTCCTGTATACATATGCGTTCGCCACAGCTTGATAGGCCTTGAATTTGAGGGGAGTCTGTTGAAAAGTGACTTGAATTTAGTAACAATTTGAATTTTTGTGCTCTGCAAAAATCCCTTGAAATTTGGTAATGCAAAATGCTCGTCTTGAATTTTTAGAACAGAATCCCTTGCCTGTAATAATAACACACATTTTCTACGATCAATAATGTGGCAAACCTCATATAAAAATATGCATTAAATCGAGGTTAAAAAGGCGTGCGTGCGTGCGTGCTTGCGTAACAGTGGTAGCAGCGTTGGCAGCATATCATCGGTGCGTATTATCAACGTAATAGTATCAGCAATGTTATGAGTATATATTGCGTTATATCTGTGTACATCATGTCATGTTGCATTGTAAGGTACGTGGTGGCGATGCAGGTTTAAATCCACGAAATTCACGAAGGTCGAAAGTGCTGGAGCTACACTGTAATTTTTTGTGTTGTTCTTTGCAGGAAAGTGTTCTGCGGCTGCGCTCGACGTTCTAGCGAATGTGTTCAGAGAGGACCTTCTTCCAACACTACTGCCTATTCTTAAAGAAACTCTATTCCACACCGACTGGGAGATCAAGGAATCTGGAATATTGGTGCTCGGTGCGATTGCAGAAGGCAAGTCACACGCCTAATACATAGTACAGAAAAATGTTTGTATGTGAAATTACAGTCTTGTATTTTTGTTATGGTTAAATTGCTGCATTATACATATCCTTTTTCGTACTGTTTGATGAAAACGAACACGCGACTCCATACATTTTCATGCAGTTTTGGTGCTCTCAACAAAGACAAATCGCTCGGATGTTCTAGATTTTCTAATATGTGAAATGCGTTCTCATCCAGTAAGATTTTGTCGTATACCTAATGCTTGCCAAGCACTCGTGTTTTGTGCAAGCGTCTTCTATCTAAAGTTACACGACCACGCACGTAACGTAAACCGACGTCGACATAGTCGGTCGTTTCAACGTGTGCGTGTTTTCTGACGCGGCCGCTCGCGTTTTCCCGGCGTTCCTGCAGGCTGCATGAACGGGATGGTTCCCCACCTGCCGGAGCTGCTGCCGTACCTCATCAGCTGCCTGTCGGACAGGAAGGCCCTCGTGCGCAGCATCACCTGCTGGACTCTCAGCCGATACGCGCACTGGGTCGTGCAGCAGCCCCACGACATGTACCTCAAGCCACTCATGACGGAGGTAGGCACTCGTTTAGTGCTGGCAACACTAACCCTAACCCTAATGCTAACCCACAACATGTACCTCAAGCCACTCATGACGGAGGTAGGCGCTCGTTTAGTGCTCGCAACCCTAACCCTAACCTTAACCCACAACATGTACCTCAAGCCACTCATGGCGGAGGTAGGCGCTCGTTTAGTGCTCGCAACCCTAACCCTAACCCTAACCCATGACATGTATCTCGAGCCACTCATGGCGGAGGTAGGCGCTCGTAAATCGTTGTCGGTGTTAAGTTGCGTGCTGTGTTTGACCCACCAGCTGTCCAGTAGAATACAGAACAAACGTTAAATTCTTGAAAGTATTGATTTTAACGTGTTCGCGAGTGGCTCACTGCGGGTGCGATCACCGCGGAGAGGGTTTGTATGCTAAATAATATACTAGCCATGTATAGTAGGTGTGCGTTTATAGCCATTTATATACTACTACGTGCTTTATTTAAATGTGTAGAGGCAAAAAAATGCATATATGCGTTCCCACACATCAGTCTATATGCACTGATTAAAGGCCCTTAGAAGTCCTTATACATGGTTCGCACAGTCCTTGAAAAGTCCTTGAATTTGAGGGGAGTCTTTGAAAAGTACTTGAATTTAGTAAATTTTGATTTTGTGCTTGAAAAGTCCTTGAATTTTATGAAAATGTCCTTGAATTTTTAGAAAGAATCCTTGCCTGTAATAAACACACATTTTATACCATCAATAATGTGCAAACCTCAATAAAAATTGCATTAAATGAGCTTAAAAAGCTATAGACACGATAGACAGTTAAATGATGATCACAAATTACAGTAAGTCAGTAATATCAATCAGTAAATCAAGGTATGTTGTAGAAGTGACAGTGTTTGGAAGGGTTTATTAATGTGATCCAGGTAAGTTTTAGAGGTGACAGTGATTAAGAATGGGGTTATTATTAAATTAATCCAGGTATGTTTTGTTCTGTGTATGAATTCCGATAAAGTGTCCTTGAAAAGTCCTTGAAAAAATTTTCAGTCCTGTATGAACTATGTTATATGTTCTCTCGCACCATTATTAGATTTTGGAATCTGGGAATAATTTTTTAACAGAACATGCGTGTGAGTCCTCTAGGCATCGACTGGCCTTGTTGGTACACCCCACTACCTCGATAGGAGATTGATACTGTTGCATGGCACTGTACTTGTTAGAGGTTCTCTGTGCTATGTATAGCTTAGTGGATAGATCGTAACTATATATATGATGTGATAAATCATCACAATTGCAGACTGTCTCGCAGCAGGAGGGGAGGGAAAAGTGTGATGCACGTATACGTGCTGAAAATTAAAAGCTAAATTACAAATATTTCTAACTGAAAAGTCATTAAAGCACATTATTTTGTCATTCTAAATTCCAGTAACTTGAAAATACTATGAATGTATGTTTATGTGTACATACACGAACATTATAGCTTATTCGTCATTGTGTTCATTTTGTTAGCGATTCTGTTCAGAGATTGGGTAAAGGGAGTCACAATGTTTTAAAAACATTACCGTTTCATCTTTTGACGAAAATGGATAGTCGTCGTCTGAAATCCTATTTAAAATGTGGATAGAATGATGCCAGCCAGCAGCAATGCAATTATAAATTTTTTCATAGGCATGAGAAGAAACGAGGGATTTTGACTGTACAGCTGATTTTATTTACATTTAAAACTAACCAGTCAATGTGACCTTGTCACATCCTCAGGCTACCTGGCATAAATGTTATTACATGATAAATTGGGAGTCGATTTGTGCTGGATATGTTGTAAACGTATGCACTGGGCAGTATATACTATATACTATATATTAAGATGTAGGCAAGTACAGTAGTGGACACATTTTTGTTTGTTATATCAAAGTGTGGTAGTGATTTGGTTTCAATCAACAAAATTAGGTGGCTTCTTCTAAGCTGTATTCATTGCAGATAAATTTGGTTGTTTGTTCTAATATGTATTTATTGTAGACAATAAAATCTGGTTGCTTGTTCTAGTATGCATTTATTGTAGACAACAAAATTAGTTTGCTTGTTCTAATATGTATTCATTGTAGACAACAAAATTACATTGCTTGTTTTAAGCTCCAGTCATTTAAGAAAAAAAAGAGTGCGATGCTTGTGTTTTAAGCCACCTCTGTTATGCATTCTATTGTTTTAGGGAGCGTTTGGCGCGCTGCAGAAGATCTGCGAGGATTCTTCGGAGATTCTTGATAGCGACGCCCTCGATCGACCTCTCAACGTCATGATCCCAAAGTTCCTACAGTTCTTCAAACACAGCAGTCCGAAAATCAGGTGAGCATGGTGATGTGTGGCTGGAAGGGTAGTTTGTGTATGTGTCTAGTAGAGGCGGGACGATACAGGTAGCTCTTGATGCGATCCCTGTCATGATAGAATCTGTATCGCGATAAGCCTTTCAACGATACGATACGTGTTGCGATACTTTCTAGAGAAACTACGTAGCAAACTATACAATTAACCGGTACTCGATCAATCGTGTGAATGCTTACCAATCAGTATCCTAGAGTGCTTAGTAAACAACTGTTATTGTACTGTGAATTGTGTCATGCTTCTTTTGATGGAACTTTGCTACCAGGTGATACGGATTTCATTCAGTAGATTATCGATACGTGCATCGTGAATAGTCACACTTATCAATCAATACGTGTATCATCGAAGTTTGTATCGCGATACAGTCCGACCTTTTTTATCCGGCCATCTGTTATCCGGAAATCTCTATTAACCGGCCGCGTTCTCGCAGTGTATGTTCTCTGTTTTTTCATTTATTTCCACCTAAAAATCTCGCGCAAAACTCGCGCGATGTACACTTTGATTATCGTAAGAGCGCACAGCTATCACATACACAAAACAATGTGAAACGCGCTACCTCGCTACGCACTCGCGAGCGATCGAGCCCCATACTTCAATCATTGGCGCCCATGATGGATTCAAACGCGTGCCATAGGCATGCATGCGGACGCTGCAGGCGGATGCAGGGGTAGAGAGGGAGAGTCTCGGTGGGTGGGGTGGGGATTCTGGGGGGGTCTCGCCCAGCAAAATTTGAAAATTTTGAATGTCAGACTGCATTTGAGGCACCCTGAAACATGGAACCTGAACCCCTGAACATTTTCACAACGGCGATGTTAAATTTGACAACGGCGGTGCGCCGCTGTGCCTCTTATGTATAAGAAACCCTGCCTAGCGCATGGAGGGATAGTTTCTTATAGCAGTGATTACAAACCCTGCTGTTGAAGCCGGCATGCAGGAAACCCGAATGAAATTTGTGCATATATATTATTATATATATATAGGTGATCATAATTGAGTTTTTTATAAGGATGGCTTGTGGCTGAATCTGTGTGGACCCTGCTGTTAAAGCAGGCATGTGAAATGTCTAGCGAATGATATTTGTGCAAACGCATGTAGGCGTTGATATTGTCATTTCACGTAGTCGGCACCGAAATTGCGCATTGGTATTGCGTCAGAAGTAGTCTGGAGTGATGTAGACTTTATTTCTGTCTTCATAGAAGTTACGCTTCATGCAAGATACAGATTGTATTCGTACTGTCTGACCAGATTACGTTCTCGCAGCCCATGTATTTTAAATACACTACCTGTTTCCATCATAGAGAATGTTACTAAGATATAAGTATTGTATTGTGTGAGAAAATCAGTGTTACTGGTTACTACCTGGTGTGCTACCAATTACTATACTTTGTATTAATATAGTACACATTATGTATGAATACTCTCTAAATTTAATGAAGTAAAGTAGTAGTAATGAGTAACGTGTTACCAAATTACTGTGATAATGTACATGAATTGTGCATTTATCGGATGGTATTTGTTAATTGGTGTTCCGTCGTTGACGTTTCAGAGCGCACGCTATATCATGTGTCAATCAGTTCATCATCTGCCGGGCCCAGGCCCTCATGCTGCACATCGACCAGTTTATAGAGGTGAGAGATTACAGTCGTAAAGGGAGCCTCCCCCCCCCTCCCAGAAGTGCCCTTTGTAGACAGGTGTCTGTTCTGTAGAGGTGGTTTCAATGCATAACTGCCACCCAAGGGAAATCGTCAAAGGTGTTCGTTCTGTAGAGGTGGTTTTAGTGTATAAGTGCTGGGGGAAATACAAAAAGTGTCCTTTATAGACAGGTGTACATTCGGGGAAAATGACCACTGACAAAGGTTTGACTGTACAAATGTAACTTTATTCCAATAATTGCTGTTTTCATGGGTGCTTCATCCAATTTTCATTTCCTAGCCAATCGCATGGCCATCTACCAACTGGTATATCAACACCGGCATAAATAACATAAAACTATAAAAATTTATTCAACGTCATGATATGTATCGTATAATCGTTAGTATACATGTCGTCTCGTTATCGCATGCTGATACGCAGCAATAGTCTCTACTCTTCTATCTATTGTAGGTTCTTAATGTAACCTCTATAGTAACATATAACCTCCGATGATAGGACTAGGTGATTTGTGCACAGTGTTCATTCGTCCCGTGTGTTCGCCGTTGTTCACTGGTCGTGTGTTCGCAGAACCTCTTTCATCTTGCGAACGACGACGACGCTGAGGTGAGAAAGAACATCTGCCGGGCGCTCGTCATGCTACTGGAAGTACGAATGGATCGACTAATCCCACACATGCACAGCATAGTCGAGGTAATGTCCTATCTATCATCAGCAACAGCGACAGCAGTAAGCAACAGCAGTAGCAGCAGTGGCCCACGTCGCTGCCGACACCCGGAAATGCCGACGGACCTTCAACGATCTCCCGCCGTCGCTGCCACGCCGACCGCCGATAACGACCTTACAACAACCTTCCCAACGTCGGCTGCCCCCGACAAACCCTTCAACCGATGCTCCCCCCGTCGCTCCACCGCCGCCGCCGATAACGACCTTCAACAACCTTCCCACGTCGGCTTGCGACAACGACTTCACGATCTCCCCCGTCGCTCCACCCGGCCGATAACGACCTTCAACAACCTTCCCACGTCGCTGCCGACAACGACCTTCAACGATCTCCCTCCGTCGCTCCACCGCCGCTGCTGACAACGACCTCCCCCATCGCTGCCGGCAACGACCTTCACTGTCCTCTCCCCGCCACCCTCTCCAACTCACGGGTTTGTTGAGGTGGTGTCCGACGCTGTCCGCGAGCGTGCCGATGGCATCGTAGAGGATCAGCAGGTTCTTGTGCTGGTACTTGCTGAAGGCAAACACGAGCGTCTCGAGGATGAAGTCGAGGTAGGGCACGAGCTCGGTGCACGCCTCCTCTTCCAGCGTCGCAAACGCGCTGCACGCCGCCTCCTGTACGCGCTTGTTTGCGTCCAACACTCGCTTCAGCAGCTGTAAATGATATCAACAAACATGTAGTCGTATTAACAACAGCTAGAGATCTCCCTCTAGCCTCCTGCACATGCTTGTTTGGCATCGAAATCTCGCTTAGCAGCTGTAAACTACATGTAGCAGTAGTGATGTCACGATCATCGATTATACTCGATCATCAGTTGAACAGTGGCTCGAACCAAGCGCTTGGTTATCAAAAAATTTTTTTTTTTTTAAACTTGAACAAGAAAACTTGGAAAAGTGATTGAGAATCAGAGATATCATCGCTACTACACAATTATCATTTATTAACATACATGTATTATACACACAGTAGTAAACAGTACAAAACAAGCACATACATGCACACACGTACATGCACACGGACGTTACGCACACGCAGGCATTCAACACCTCGAGTAACCGATTGTAACGATCATCGGTTACTTGGGTCAACCGATGATCGAATTACGAAAATTACAACCGATTGACAACACTATGTAGCAGCATTAACAATATCTAGAGACTTAGCTAAAGGGATCTTCCCTCCCCCCTAGATACAGATGTGCTAGGTTAGGGTTAGGGTTAGTGTTGCCTGGACTAAACGAGCACCTACCTCGCCATGAGTGACTCGAGATACATGTCATGGGTTAGGGTTAGATGTTGGGGTTGCCAGCACTAAACAACGCCGCTACCTCCGTCATGAGTGGCTTGAGGTACAAGTCGTGGGTTAGGGTTAGAGTTGCCTGCACTAAACGAGCGCCTACCTCCGTCATGAGTGGCTTGAGGTACAAGTCGTGGTAGAGTTAGGGTTGTCTGCACTAAACGGACGCCTACCTCCGGTCATGAGTGGCTTGAGGTACCAAGTTGTGGGTTAGGGGGTTAAGGGTTGCCTGCACTAAACGAGTGGCCTACCTCGCGCCATGAGTGCTTGAGGTACATATCTTGGGTTAGCGGGTTTAGGGTTAGGGCTAGGGATTAGGCGTTTACGGATATTGCCGG